GACGAAGAAACAGTGAAGCTTTTCAACGGCTGGAAATTCATAGAGGAAAAGACGTCACAACACCCTCTTGATAATTATTGCTCTTGTTTGTTTGTTTGTTTGTTTGTTTTTTGGCCAGACTCTCCCTTCTCCTCCAAACCCGTTACATCGCTTTAAATTTATAAAAGTACATCGTTTATGATTAATTAAATATTTTGCAATATATGGGCTGATTATGCTTGACTGGCACTATAATTTTTTTCAGTCCGACTTGACGTTCTCCTATGACTTCTTTTAACATAAAGTCTTTCTTGTTTTTAATATATATATATATATATATATTTTATGATTTGGCTAAAAAAATCTATTTTTTATGATAATTAATCCATCTTTCAAAGTATATTAAAGATGCTGATTAAAAAAATACAATTTGTAACGTCCCAAAATTTAAAATAGGCTTAATTAAAAATTAATTAAGAGTTAAGTTAATTAATTAAGGCTTAAATTGAATTATTTGAATGATTATTGGGTCCAATGGACTCTGTGAGTTTAAATTTGACCTTAGGAAGCTAATGGGCCACTTTGAACCATATTTAATGGGCTTAAATTTAATTTAGATTATTTATTAGTGTCATCTGACATGATAAATTTTAAATCTTAAGTATGTATTTTTTTAGATAGAATGAGAGGGCTTTCAAAAGAGAAGTGATGGAGCTCTAATAGAGCCTGCATTTTTGGCCAAGGAGAGCTTATTTGGAGCTATTAAATAAAGCTTCCTCATCCCTTCCTACACCTCCTTCATACATTTTTTCCAATAGTTCCTTGGGTGAGGGGGCTAAGTCTAAATTTATAGTTAAGTGTTGCTCATCCTAATGACTTCAATAGAGTCAAGGAGGTTGTTTTATGCTTCCAGTCATTGGTTTAAACTAATGACAATGGTTATAAGTGTTGATGATGGGTTTAAAGTCAAACCTTATGCAAATTTACCTAGATTAAGCTAATGAAAAGGTTAAATAGTGTTAGTTAACTTTAATAGAGGCTAAATAAGTTAATGAAAGTTAAAAAAAAATATGGTTGTTTATAATTAATATCACCAATTAAGTTTAAAAAAATATTTAACTAGCATTGCAAGGCATTGATGTTTGGTTCTTGATTATTATTCCTTAAATACTACTTAGCGAAGGTAGTAATAAGGGCTTCTCTTAAACCCCAACTAGCAAAGTTGGTAACCATGTGATTAAGGATGTCTAACTGAGGTACATGTTGAACAAGCTATGAAATTTAAAATGTAAATCCTTGTTTTGTATGCTTATAATCATAATTTAATATTTTCTAGATGACGCTCAGACTTAGGGCAAAAGGAAAGCATGGGAAGCTAGAGACATTTAACTAATTGTAATGTCTCTAGTTATTCATATTTTGTAATTGAATAGTGTATTACCAACATTAGGGGTCATATGCATTTAATTATTTGTCTTTTGCATTGTAATTTATTACTTGACTTGTATATGAATGGTATTGACACTCACATACTTTTGGTCATGGGTCAAGTTATGCTAGTATGTTTTTTTAAATGTCAAGTGTTGTGAGTGTTATAAAGAATCTTTAAATCCTCCAACTGGATTTATGCATGCTTATTGGTGTAGTATGTGTTTGAATGAGATGGCCATAAGGCTAATGGTTTAATAGTTGGGTAATGATACTTGGTTGATGGTGTAATCGTGGAAGAATATGTTATAATTTCAAGTGTCCAAAATCTTCATTTGGTATTGGATGGTGGTGAGATCAATACCATTAGCTAAATTATTTGATTATCTCTACGAGGATGTTTGGATCGCCTCATTTAAAGATCTAAGCAAAAAGTTCGGTGCACCAAAAGTTGAATCTAGAGGCGGTATAATTAGATGTGTTGATATGCCTTTTGCATTGTGATAGAATATTCATTGGCCACGGTGCACGGCTCTAGAAATGTCAGCTTTGGTAAAATGTGCCTTTGGCTATGACAAGTGTCCTCCATACTATGAATCACAACAAATGGTGGTGTTTGTGTAAAATGACCCGACCTTATGAAAGCTTGTTTCAAGGCTTGGTATATTTCAATACTCCCTAAAGCCAATCTTATATGATTTTAAGGCATTTCAAAAGCCTTAATTAAAAGTTCTCAAACTTAAACTATTTTTTTATCCTACATAACTAATGTCTTTATATTTATTATTTGGAGCTTTGTTTGATCAAGGTTTATCATATTTTTTTGTAGTATCTTTCTTAGCTAATTAATTGGCCTTAATGGATTATATAATTGCGTGGATAATGTCGGAGGACATTACATAATCAACATGTCATAATTATTTTATTTATTTTACATGTCTTTGATTTATGTTCTGATTAATATAATTTTAAATTCTAAATATCTAAACTTCAATTTGTTAAATTAAAAAAGACAACTAATATATCTTTTATTTTTAGACAATAATTAAATTCACTTTATTACATAGTAACAAAAGGATGACTATGTTTATTTAAATTATGTGTATATTAAAATAAAAGAACTACTATTAAAAATATAAAAATGTTGTGAAATAGTTGTGAATTGATAAAAGAAACAATTTAGTTAGAGAACAGGAGAATAATAAGTTGGAAGAATATAGACAGCACAAGTGAAAACAATGTATTGTGCTTCATTTTTATACTACAAATGAAATGGCATGTATGTAGGCAAATGCTTAAGACTCAAGAATATTGATTATGAAATATTTCTTCTCATTTTTATTGTAGAATATTTTTAATCATTTCACACATCTCAAAAAATTATTTTTTTCTTAATATCGTAAAAAAATGATATGAACTTTTTATTTTTATTCTTGACTTTAAATCATTATATAGCTACATTAATTACTTTCATACTAATTAAGAAAGGATAAAATAAAAAAATAATTTAATTATTATATGGTGTTATACATTTTAAACCAAAAATTATTTTTAAAAGGTGTCATACAAATAGGACCAGAGGGAGTAATATATTTGTTTGGGCTAAAATCAAAATGACACCTATTCAAAAGGTTAAAACAGCTATAGTAAGAACTAGATCGCGTGAACAAAACATTAGGCCCAACAAGAGATTTGATAGTGACAAGTCTGGTCCTGACCAAGACAGCACGAGTCTTTGAATCTCTTAAAACTTGAAACTACCAATTGGATTGTTTGAATTACACAAGACCATGATTCCAATAAGCCTTGAATCTTGCAAGATCATGACCTTCACCTATGAAAATTTATAGGAAATAGGCTGGTAGTTACAAATGGCTAACGATAGCCTACACACACTATAAATATGAGAACAACAGCAAAGAAAGAGATATCACAAAAATCACACAGAAATACTTATAAACTCTCAGGAATTTTATCAATCATTAGCTTTTAGCCTTAATTTATTTTCCAATTTAGTCTAGCTTATCAATTTACACCTTTGTAATTTGTGCTCACGCACACTATTTTAATTAGACTTTATTTCTTTCGACTTCAACTTGTATCTTTGCATTTGGATAAATTGAAGTAAGGGAGCCTGAAATCCAAATTATTTAAGATTCAATATCTTTTGTGTGCCTGGTACTTTAATTGTTTGGTTGATTCAATTTCCAAATGCAAACAATATTATATATAAGACATTAGTTCTATGTGAGAAGATGAATTAAAAGTGATATAGGAAGGTGGACATTCATAACACTGTGACATAGCGAGATGAAGATCCACGCATAATGTTTGTTTATATATTGGTTAAAATATATAAAATTATCATAAATTTTGAGGCAATTATACATAATTCTTTTACTTTTAAAAGTTTAAAATTAACCTTCAAAGCTTTTTATTTTTTTGCTACAGACTTTTTTTTTAGTTACCTCATTGACAAAAATTGTAATGCCATATTAAAAAAAAATGTCACAACTCATGTAGTATGTGTCTATCCTCATTAGGTTGCATCGGATACAACATAAGTTGTTATATGTGTTTTTTTAATATGATATGATAACTTTTGTTAACAAGATTACTAATAAATAATAGTAAAGAAGTCTGCAGTTAAAAATTAAACACTGGGAAGACTAATTTTAAATATTAAAGGTAAGAGAAGTTCTGGACAATCATCTCAAAATTTGAAGGAGTTTTTATATTTTAACCTTGTATATATAACAAAAAAAAATAATATCAAATATAATTCCGAATTTGGTGCTTGTGGATTTGCTTGTCCGTGTCGCATTGGGTGAGATTGAAAAATTGGCCAATTGCCCTCTTAAAATTAATCACCAATGCAATTACGTTAAACCTTCACTGCTTTCTAAATTTGTTATTATGGTTCTTATTCTTCCTCTTACAGAAATGTATACAATATTTATTAATTATTAATTAATAATTAATTATAATTATTTCCAAACATGCTTTCTATTAAAAGACCAAATATGCTCTTTATTACTATACATTTATTTATTTATTTTTTGGTGTGAAGCTTGTATCTTCTATTTTAAATGCTTATCTCGTAGCTGGCCGTTAGCTGATTTTTATTTCTCTCATGAGGCGTATGCTAATACAGCACAATATATTAACGAAATTTATGTACTGTTTTGTATAAACAGGGTAACTCATGCGAAATCCGTATATATATATATATATATATATATATATGTAAATATATTTAAAATACGTAATTGAGTTTTAAACTTTTAATGAGAAAAAAGATAACAATACATGGGAGTTGAAATTGGAATCGAACAGGGGAGGAAAGAGTGGAAGCAAAGTTGAAACCAGGGAAGGCCAAGTGGCGCAGAAACCAAGGCGCCGCTACAGAAACAGTTTTGCTAATTTTGACTTTACTAAGCAATCAAAGTATTCGGATGGCACTGTCTGATCCCCCCCTCCCCGGCTAAAACCGCAAAACAAAAGCGGTTTTGCTCTCCCTCTTAAAATTCTTCTTTCATTTTCTTTCTCTAATTTTTTTTAAATTCCTTAATTCGGGCTTATCGCCTCGCTTTCTGCTTTCTACTATTTACACAAGTGGGCGAGTTTCCTTCCCCCAATATATAGCTTTCGGTGGCCGCTGCCTTCCGCACTCAGCAATTTTCACTGTCGTCCTCGTCCTCATACTCAGTGATCAGTAGCTATGTCTAGCACGGCGGGTCAGATTATCAAGTGCAAAGGTCAGACTTCACTCGCAGAATTCCTTCCGTTTTCTTCCTGCTTGCTGCTCCTACTCGATTTTTCATTCCCTTCTTTCATCTCTGTTCCCCACTCATTTTCCTTCCCTATTTTCCTTATACACGCAGAGATTCTTCCGTTTTGTGAATTTCGGAAACCTCCGATTGATCTTTCACTTACTTTATGTAGTTGTTAGGGTCCATTAATTTTTTCGATTTTTGCTGTTGCTTTCTTTATATGATACTGTGCTTCTCTCTGTTTCCTCCGGGGATGTCAGAGTGATTTGAGAAAATTATATGACTCTTTTGTTTTGGGTCCGGATCCTATCATCATATGAAGATCGGAATTCAGGGGATGTATTTTCGAACTGATCCACCTTTGATGTTTTGTGTTGTGAAAAGTACATACTAATTGGGCTGTGTGGAATTTTTGTGAAATGTAGCTGCGGTGGCTTGGGAAGCAGGGAAGCCACTGGTGATTGAAGAGATAGATGTGGTGCCTCCTCAGGCTGGAGAAGTGCGTCTGAAAATCCTCTTTACCTCTCTCTGCCATACTGACGTTTACTTCTGGGAAGCGAAGGTTCTGTTATTAATCGCTTTACCTTTATATATATATATAAAATAATTAATCGCTTTGCTGTTTTTTTTTTTAATTCTGAACCTTCATCCTTTATGGAATCTGAATCTTATTCTATTATTATATTTACTTTACCCCCTATGACAGGGTCAAACTCCTGTATTCCCTCGTATATTAGGTCACGAAGCTGGGGGGTATGTTCCTTCTCCTTCGTCTGTATTGCCTCTTGGTTATGAATCCCTTTAGCTTAAAAACTAATATACATCTATGCATGGTGATATATTATATTCAGGATCGTGGAGAGCATAGGGGAGGGAGTGACTCATCTGAAACCAGGGGATCATGCTCTCCCAGTATTCACAGGGGAATGCGGGGAGTGCCCGCACTGTAAGTCGGAAGAAAGCAACATGTGTGACCTTCTCAGGATCAACACGGACAGGGGTGTTATGATCAGTGACGGCAAATCCAGATTCTCCAAGAACGGACAGCCAATATATCATTTTGTGGGAACCTCCACATTCAGCGAGTACACCGTTGTGCATGCTGGTTGTGTTGCTAAGATTGACCCTGCTGCTCCACTTGACAAAGTTTGTATTCTCAGTTGCGGGATCTGCACAGGTTTTGCATCCTTGCCCTTCCATCACCATGTATATATATAATCTCTGGATGAAGTAGTAATACCTTTTCCTGATTGAATCCTTCATTCTTGTAGGTCTTGGTGCTACTGTAAATGTTGCAAAACCAAAACCTGGTTCCTCTGTTGCCGTCTTTGGGCTTGGAGCTGTCGGACTTGCTGTATGTTTCTACATTCTACCCCTCTTTTTGTGTTAAGTTCATTTTTTTTTAGCAATTCATAAGTAAACAGCTACTTTAACCCCTTATCTTCTTTTGTAATGTGAAATTTAGGCCGCTGAAGGGGCAAGGATTTCTGGTGCATCAAGAATTATTGGGGTTGATTTAGTTTCTAGCCGTTTTGAGCTAGGTGCTACTCGTATAATTTATTGTACACAAAAGGGAATCAACGAGGCTAATTGAGTTGTTAAATATTTGCATATCGGTATTGATGGAAGGTATATCTTTCTATTGTTATTGGCAGCCAAGAAGTTTGGAGTTAATGAATTTGTGAACCCGAAAGATCATGACAAGCCCGTTCAGGAGGTTAGTGCACGCATAGAAAAACTAATTGATTTGATGAATAAATAGAATTGGATATCATATCAAAGTTGCCTGGCTTCAATTTTTAACAGGTGATAGCTGAAATGACTAATGGGGGAGTGGATCGCGCTGTCGAATGCACTGGGAGCATCCAGGCCATGATCTCAGCATTCGAATGTGTCCACGATGTACTTATTCAAAACTCGCTTGCTTGAAACTAGAAAGACGTTATGTTAATAACTGGATGAGCTACCTTCAATAGCAGAGCTAACAATGGAAATGGTTATTATGTGCAGGGTTGGGGTGTTGCGGTACTGGTTGGAGTGCCAAACAAGGATGACGCGTTTAAAACTCATCCGATGAATTTCTTGAACGAGAGGACTCTGAAGGGTACCTTCTATGGCAACTACAAGCCACGTTCTGATCTGCCTTCTGTCGTAGAGAAGTACATGAAAGGGGTAAGCCTTCTTGTGGAATGATTTTTTATTGTATTTTGCTTCTACGTTGATTCAATTATGTGTTCTAGTTTGTTCATGGGGTGGGATCTTACGATGAAACAATGAAATTACAGGGGCTGGAACTTGAGAAGTTCATCACTCATTCGGTCCCTTTCTCAGAGATCAATAAAGCCTTTGACTATATGCTCAAAGGGGAATCCATCAGGTGCATCATTCGCATGCAAGACTAGAACAATGCTGGGAGAATTGAGTTTTCCTTGTGATGATTGTGAAGAAGAATAACCCACCTTGTAATAATTAATGAATAAGATGTTTATGCGTACTTCGGTTGTGGCGTTGTTTACTTATAAATATAACTTATCATTTTCGTGCCTTGTGGTTTCTTGTTGATTAAAGGTCAATTTTTCAAAAATGCATTTAGTGAAAAAGCATTAGTTGTAATGAAATTTGTATGGATTATTTCATGTTCAACTCGCCTAAACTTTTAACCAAAAAAAGTTCTTATTGAATTATAATTATCCCAAAGAATATAAATTTTAAATTACATAAAGAGAAAAACATATATTTAGAATGCTTGCTTTAAGGCTCAATACATGTGGATATTTTATATACACTTAATTATTTTTTCAATGAAATTTTTTCTCAAACCTGAACTAATCTCTGTTGCCCATTATCTATTTCAATTTTTGTTCACCTCCAGTTATCTATTTCAACTATAATTTATCAATAATATTTATTTTCTCAAATGAATGTGGATAAACATTTATGATTTGTGTTTTTTAAAATGCCACACAGTGTACTGGATCACACAGGGTCTAAATGAAATTTCTCGCGAGAGGGAGGAGTGGTTTTTAGGGAGATTCAAGCCGGGACTTCTTTTGTAAAAGTAATATGTGGTTAAAAATAATTATTTAATATTATTTCAAATGTTATCTTTTTTGGCCGTATATTTCAAATATTATTGGATAAAGAGTTAAACATAATTTATTATTTTTTCTGGCAAAAAAAAATTTTATTATTTCAAACATAAAATTGTTAGAAGATGAATAAAAATTATTGTCATGTGACAAAAGAAAGACCTAATCACTCAGACTTGCTCTGTTTTTTGATATTTCATATTTATCAATGGATTTTATGAATAAGCATTAAAGAATCTTATTTAATATTTTTAAGATCACTAATAAGTATATTTTGTTGTGGAGAAAACTAATTCCCCAACCCTTATAGTTTTACCTAGCTTTTAATTAGGTCCTTAATAATTTTTTTCTTTTTTACTATCTCCTTGTAGTTTTTTCCGTTACTTCCGTCGATCGAAGAAGAGATGATAGAAGTATATTCCGTCGATCATGATAAGGTCGGCTCATCGTCTTCTCTCCTCCATTGTCTTTGAACTCGTGATCAAATGGACAAGGGATCAGGTTCTTCCTCCAAACACTGTCTTCTGACTCTTCAAATTCGCATTCTTCTCATTCTTCGAACACACTTTATGGGCACTCAAGCAAATGATCTCAGTACATCTATATTGCTCTGAGTTGATAGTTTCACTTATTCGGGATCATTTCTTGCTTCTTAATGAGATAAGGAAATTAGCTATTGTTTGAGAAAAATAATGCTCAAAGATTGTAATTAAGCTGAGGGTGTTCGACTCTTCGAATTTTAAAACCCATAGAAGGGCTTGCCTGGGACAATCGAAGTAAAAGGGACTTTTCCTTCCTCCTCCTCCCACGAAAAGTGTAAAATTTCTTAGTTTACAAAATAAGAAATGCTTTTTAATCAGCTTGTTAATTGCCAAATATAAGTGATTCAAAAACCAACAAGTGCAGAATAATTTTGCATTTCATTAAATTAGTGACAATGGAAGGAAAGGGAAAAAGAAAAAAAGAAAAATAGTGATAGCAACAGGGACGAAAAGAGACTGCAACTTATCAAATGGCATTCAAAATAGTAGAATGTATTGTATTTGTCAAAGTGAATTGCAACTTATCAATTAATAACATTTAAAAGTATTGAAGAACAAATACATGAAGTATGCGTTGGCCCTGATAAACGATTTTGGAGGAGAGGGATAAACGGAACTAATGGGAAAAAGACTACAAGGATCTACTTAAAAAAAAAAAAGAACTTTAAGGACCTGATTAAAAATTAGGTAAAACTATAAGAACAGTGAATTAGTTTTTCCTTTGTTTTTAACATGATTGTTATTATTTTATTTACTTGAATAACTAAATTTCAAAAAATAATTTTCACATTTTAATTGACTTGTAATAGATATAATATGAGATTAAAGATTATTTTAATCCCTCAATTTTACCAAAAAAAGTTATTAAGCACCTAAACTTAGTCAATTGTGTCCCTCAAACGAAAAAATTTCGATTCCTTCTAGTGCTAATTTTCTATTAGTGGGGCTATTTTTTTTTTATTTTTGAGTTGGCTTTTTCAATTATAAAATATAACGACGGACTCAATATTTTTTATTATATCCTTTCACACCGCACAAGCCAACTCTATCATACACCCCTCATTCCCTCTCCTCACTCTCTCTCCTCTCCTCGACAACACAGACTACGTCTTTCGTGTCAATACGCTCAACTGACTCATCTTGATCATGGCATTGGCAAACTTGTCAAAAAGCCAATTTCTGGTTCTCAGCGAAGCTAACAACGATGTTCTTGGTTCTAGGATCGGTGAACAGATTCTGGTCGGAGAAGAGGCCTTGCCGGTTCATGAGGTCGACGTAGTACTGGTTGTCGAAGATGTTGGGAGTTTGAACATCGAGATTGGCAGTGTTGGGGGAGGAGTGGTGAAGGAAGGGTCAAAGGTAGGTGAGCTTTCACTCTCTATTTGGTTCTGTTTTTTTGAATAGAAAACAGAGGTGGAACGTACGTGAAGATGTTTTTGTGGTCAGATATTGACGAACGTGTCATCAGGCTCCAACTATCCCCATCTATATATCCATATTCATTAATTTAAAATGTTTTATCCATCTTAATTAGTCATCTTCCATGCAATGCGTAGGATTGAGTCTGTTAATACGTTGTGACAAACTGCAAATGCTTGTATTGTAAAAAGAGGTGAAGATCATTTCCTTTATGCATTTTCTAATAAACAACGTTGATAGTTAAAGTCCCAAAAGTATAAAGATGTTTTTTTTCCTAAATTATAAATCTGACAAGTAGATTCAATTAGATTTAGTTAGATCTGACAATTAGTCTTCATCAACGCCGGTAGTGGTGACTACGTTAATCATGTGGACATGGTTTCGCTCACTTCATCCACCCATGGAGCGCTCAAGTTGGACGGTGAGCAACCCGTAGCGGAGAGCGGAGTGCATTGTAGATTTTAAGAGGCTTGAGAAATCTCCTCGCGAAAACCCAGAGGTAATTAACGCCCTTCGCGGCTTTATTGGTTCAGACACAAGAAGTCCGTTCAAGTTATTGAATCAATTTGGTGTTAACAGAAATTCAACGAACGGGTTATCTTCAAAAGGAAAAGGCTCTTAGGTGGGTTCTCGTTTTCTCTCTATTGGTTTTCGTGCTGCTAGGTTTTGTACACATGGAACCTTGCTTCCAACGGAAGCAACCGCCGGATCGCCCTCCTGGTGATCCTGAAGGTGAAGCAAGTAAGCCAAAGAAGGTGAAGGCGACTGGATCAGACTTTTCGGATCCAATGTTGCCGGAAAGCAATGAAAGGCTACATAATGAAATGGAAGCCAGAACTGGTGAAACTTCAAAGACAATGGAAACTGAGGAAGGGATCATAAAGACTCAAGATATGGATACAGATGAAAGAACATGATGCTTGCAAAAGGTACCAACTTTGCCTTACAAAGTATGGCTTAGGGTTTTAATGGAGTGGCAAATGGTGATGTGGTTATGGAAGTAGATGATCTGACGCAAGGAGACGAAATACCATGGAAACTACCCAAACCGTCTAAGGAAATAAAAGAACTCATGAAACTCTATCCTATGATTCTAATGACTGAGGAGGAATTGCAAGATTGGAGTAGACCCTGGAACCAAGCTCTAGTTTTGACGGTACTAGGGAAACGTCTGCGTATGAGTGATCTCAAAAATGGCTGGGCAGGATTTATGGGGTTCCAGACTTTGAACTCATTGATCTCTACAACAACTATTATGTTGTCCGATTTACTAATTTAGAGCAAAAGAAAGCTCAGTACAAACGAGTTTTTTTTGAGGGACCATAGGTATTGATGTAACATTGTGTTCTCGTCCAACGATGGTCTCCCTACTTTGATCCTTTCAACAATCCTCTAGTTTGAATTGCTATATGGGTTAGGATTCCAAATATCCCTATGCATTGCTACAGCAACAATTTCATATGTTGACTGGGTGAAAGAATAGGGAGACCAATTAAAGTTGATATGTGCACTTTGTCGAACATCGCCACGACCAATCCAACAACAGAAAGGGGGAGATATGCTCGCATTTGTGTGGAACTTAATTTACAGAAAAAGTTAGTTCCCAAGGTAATTGCAGCTTGTTCAGTCTTTAATGTAGAATGTGAGGGATTGAGACTCATCTGTTTCAATTGTGCCTGATTCGGCCACCGTCAGAAAGAATGCCCGTGGATTATGAAAGATGGGCAAGAACATGGGAAACGGGTAGGAACGCACGCACAGTCTAGCCGCTGTAATGGAGAAATCCCAGACGGAGGTGCGCCATTCCGGCAATGATAATGTCGAAGGGACAGGTGAAGTTTAGCCCCAGGATGTTCTTGGACAAGTCGCACCATCATATATCAAGGCAACCTCCAACTCGCACTACCCAAGGTAGACAGGGGAGATGCCATGCTAGTACGAGATGTGTTGAAAGTCAAATATCCCAATCTAGATTTAGCACGTTAGCTGATGAAGATGGTCAGGGTGGCTTGGACGAGAAGTCTTCTATACCTGTGAACAAGAGGGAAAAAAAAGAGGAGAGAGAAAAGATGTGTCAAATCTATTTTGAGTCTATGGGAAGTCCTATCATAATGGATGCGAAAGGTGGGTACCAGAGCAAGTCACATGAAAAGACCCCAGCTACAGGAAGTGGGAAAGGAAAATATAATGGAAAGGAAACAAAATACCTTTGGGACAGCTACAGACTGGACCAAATCACAAAAAGGGGAAAGGACTCCAAGAATTTCAACAAAAAGGAAATAGCCCAACAAGACAAATTTCAAGCCAAAAGCAAAGGTCCCACCGTGTGGTGTAAGGCAATACATTGGACTTGGGCCAAGGAAAATCGCAATGGGACAAGCATCTTTGAGTCAAGGGAAAAATCACACAGGGTATGCACCTGAAAAAAGAGACCGACTGCAGAACGGAATTCTATCGGGAGAGAGATGACAGGGCAATTGTTCCGTACAATGATGGGAAATGCACAGAACCACCGGACCCATCTTGGTAGAGTCTACCATCGATAGAAACCCAGAAGATTACTGGATCAGAGACACAAGTTGTCCAGAATGAGAAAAGCTCTTCGCAGAAGCAGGATATGCAAGTCTAGCTTCGAGACAGTACTCTCATTAGCTCTCTATTTTGTTTTCTCCATGATAGTTGCAAGTTGGAATTGTAGAGAGGCAGGTGGTCACACTTTTCCCAATCTAATCAAAGACATTGTTAGAAAATATAGTATTGACGTGCTCTGTCTCTTGGAACCTTGTATTAGCGGTGAAAGAGCTGATAAAGTGGTTAGGAATTTTGGTTTCACAGATTGGATACCTGCGTAAGCCTCAAGGTATGCGGGGGAAATTTGGGTTCTTTGGAATGTTCATCAAGTCAAAGTTGAATATGTGCAATTGCAAGGCAAAATGGATATGACAACACTTGTGTCGACAACAAGGGTATTATTGTCTTCCGTCGAATTTGTGCAATTGCAATCTTTATCGTACTTTCATCCTTCTTATACAATGCCTGTGAGGCTAGCAATAATAATTTGAGTTATTTTGTTCAATAAACATGGCCATATCTCAGCTGGGTATTGCAAAACGGATCTCTTATGAGAAAGTAAACGCAAGACACATTGTTCTGGTTATGGCAGTGAAGTAATCATACCTAACTTGTTCTCCAAATGGATGATTTTCACCTCCCAACAACCGGTCGAACAGAATTCAAGCATAATTGAATTAGAGCTCTCTTAACAATATAATTGTAGCTATATTGTAGAAAAGGGGATCTTGACCTCCTTGTACTTGCTTTAGAACATGCATAAGGTATTGCTGTTAAATCTCCAATTAACATGCATTATTTTAGATGAAAGATCAAGGAAAGTATGGTGCCGACTTACCGTTGCCTAAAAGATTCCTCTGTGAGGATCAAAGGGGTCGCCAGAAAAATAGTTGCGGCAACTACCTTTTCAGGTTAGCCCTTGCCTTTTTAGTATGTGTTTGGATTTCAATTAGAAAAAATATTATAAAAAAATTGATCATGAATATGTGATAATGTTTGAATAAATTTTTAAAAATTAATTTTAATAAATTGAATATGTTTGGATGATTTTTTTTTGAAAAACTATTTTGAATATACAAATAAATGATACACAGAAAAGGAGTCAGATGGAGGAAATTTTAATTTCTCTAAAATGAAGTTTTTTAAGCCAAATGAAGTTTTGTAAAATGAAAGTGTTTGGATAAATTTTTGCAAAATCATAATTTTAACTCAAGAATTGATTCTCAATGAATATCCAAACAAGGCCTTAATAAGAAATTAAAAACGGAATATTTTTCCTTCTTCATCTTTGATTCCCTTTATATAAGATAGTGTAGTTGTACCACTTTAAATTTTAAGCATTATTGCAAGTACAAAGTGCACAGCTTAGAATTTCAGACTATGAGAACTATGAGAGTTTATTTGTACTCTCTCTAATCCTATTTATAAGTCACAATATATCTTTTTAGGTAATATTTAAAAAGTATTTTTAAAATTATTGTTCATGAGAGAAAAAAAGTAACATGACATTACTCTTTAAATTTATTATATAGGGACATATTTAAAATTTTATACACTTTTATTTTTTATACTTTTTTTACATTGATTGATATTGATGAGGTGGTAAAAATAATTTATAAAGAGAATAGAAAGAGTATCTGTTTAGAGATGAGACAAGATAAGTTAAAAATGGAGAGAAGTGTGGCAATTTAACTTTAATTTCACCGAGCCTAGTCTTTCAATCCTCTAAGTTTGATATTGGTGGATTAAGTTGAAGTTTTTTCTTTTAAGGAAAAAATTATTAGTTTATAAAAAAATGATAAAATAAATAAAAATGCTATACAAAGAAAACTTTATTCAACATTTTAGAGGATTATGAATCCTATTAAAAAAAAAGCGTATTTATGCAAGCCCGGCTAAAAACTTCAATTGTCAATTTTTTTTTGTTTCTTAAAAATAATAATCATTTTTGTTATTATAAAAAATATAAAATATTTTTTTTGGAATACTTTTTTTCTTATAAGCTTTTTGGAATACTTAAAAAATGTATAATTCTCAATTTTTTTTAAAAAAATTGTGGCTCTTAAGTTTTAAAAATCAAGATTTAAAATATATTTTAAATTAAATATTATTGTAAGATATTTTATAGATTAAAAATAATAAAATTATAACAATATTAACTTTTTAAGAAAATATCTATATTAATTTACTCAAATATATGGTTTCTTATCATAAAATAAACTAATGGCATGTTTGAATCAATGAAGATTTAAATTTAAATTTGAACCAAAATTCTTATGTGAGTATACAAATTTATGAATTTGGACTTCAAATCTATTTCAAATTATAATTTTTTTGGAATTTTAAATTTTATTTACATCTTAGTCGTTTGTAATTATAATTACTTGAAACATCTTATTATATTTGCCTTTTCACCATTATTATTTATATAACTCTCATATATTTTTTTATCTTTTGTCAATTTAAAATTATAAATAATCTCATCATTTTAATCTTTCCTTTTTGTTTTGAATTTCAATTCATTCCTTTCTTCATTTAAATTTTTTAAAATTATTCAAACAAATAATTTTAAATACATAAATTTTAAATGTGAGATTTGAAATGTAAGATTTAAAATTTGAGATCCAAAACCTAAATCATCCATCCAAACACTAACTAAAAATTTAAAATTAATTAATACATATTATATTTTATATATTTCTTTGAAATCAGACATCTTTAGTTTTATCCTAAGCTATTTAAGATGTTCTAAATGTTAATTGTTCGATTAAAGCATTTCCTTCTAAACAGAGATCAGATATAAATGAAAAGAATGAAGGAATTTAAAGAGTTGATTGCAAAATTCTCGAATTTGATTTTTGGAAATTTAATCACACAATCAAATCGAAGTCAAATATCACCATCAGAGATAAAATGTTGAAATCTATTAGACCGGAGGCATCGAAATCAAGTGGAAAAAGTCAGGGCTAAAAAATTAAAGCCTTGTTAATAAAAAAGTTACCAGAAGTAAAAAAAATAAAGCTGAACTTGGGCAGAAGTGGCTCTATGTTTCAAGTTTGCTGTTAAAAATTAAATTGTTCCTTAGTACGTGACAATGAGTCAATAATTTATTCCTAAAGGTTGCCACCGCAGTCCGCAAGCTGCTGCTGATTCTGTTTTTCACATGAGAACCGAAACTAGAATCTAAGACATGTTTGGCAACTGTTTTGAAAATAATTTTTTATTTTTTAAAACAAAAAAATAATTATTTGATAAGGTGTTTTGAAAAAGTATTTTAGAAAACAAAAGAATAAAATATTACATTAAAAAATAAAAAAAAACATCTTTTAGGTGTTTTAAACTTATTGTTTTGGAAAACAAGTGAAGATGAAAAAAAAAAACACTCATTTTTTTTATTTTTTATTTTCAAAATATGTTATGTAAAACACAAGTTCTTCAAATAATAAAACAAAATAATTTTAAACAAACCCATATTCTTGTGAGATGAGGAACCTTTTCTACATCTTCATACGTCATCAATAAATAATGCCATGTATCGAAAACTCTATCCCCCCACAATTTATGTGAAACTCTATACAAAGCAATGAATTTACATATTGATTTTATATTTTTATTTAAACACAGTTTTGTGACTTTAAATTCAAAAATTACAGTTTTTATCAAATTACTTCGCAGTTGACACATGAAAAAAAAAATAAATTTTGATCCAACTTGATAGAATTACGCACGTGACGCAGCGAACAGAGGGTTTATTGGTGGGGGATATTACAGACAGAATAGAATCCTTGAATGCAGTTATGGGAAACCCATGTGGTTTCAATCGTGGCTTGTTGGCTTGCGTTGAAGCTCGTGATGGTGGTGTTCGATCCCAGAAGTATTTCCCACATCAGGGTCATGGCCACTAGCGTTGACCTGATCACTAGCCGCTGATGATTCCGCATGTAAACCGTCAACAAACCTCTCTTTCTTCTTCATTTCAGCGTCGATGTGCACATCATCCTCCACCGTCACCACCACGACCTTCTGTCCGAAAGGACCGGACGCAATTTCTTCCTTGACCTTTTTATGCTCATCAACATGAACGATGTCCATTTCTTCAGGCGCCTTCTTCTTCCTCCTCTTAATAAAGCAAAACATAGCAAAAGCCAGCAAAGAAAGGAAGAGGAGGCCGCCCAATGAAACGAAGACAATTACAATCACTGTAGGATGACTTGGAGCAGGCGAGGGAGGAACAGGGGCCGGGGGTGGCCTCACATGCGGCGGAGGGGGAGCATTTGGGTGAGATGGTGGAGGCGCCGGACGCACAGGGGGAGGCGGCCGCGGAAGGACATGAGGAGGCGGTGGTGGAGAAAATGGACGAATCGGCGGGGGAGGTGGAGGAGGAGATGAACGGGGCGGTGGGGGTGGGGGATGGAAGGGATGAAAAGGTGGTGGAGGGAAGAAAGGGAAGTTGAAGCTGTTCGGCTGGGGGAAGGCCATGTTGGATCTTACGTTGATTACTGGATGTTTGTTCTATAACGTCGTAAGAAACGCGGTGGCTCAGGGGCCCTTTTGTAGGCTGCATTTAGAAATATTTTGATTTGATTAGCATTTCTGCGAGTTTTTAGTGACTTGACACTCATTCTAAGTTTTAGATGTTTGCAGTGGAAAACACTTCTTGGCTATAGTTCCTTCGCTTCTGAAACTTGTTCCTCCTCTTCTTTAAGGCATTGAGGCGCAAGCTTAATTTTTTTAATAAAATATATGAAAACAAAAAGGAATGTGAACAACCCTTGCCATCAACTTCGACCACTCAGTATGCAAGTTGTCTTCAGTTTAGAGTCATTTTTCATATTTAAGTCTCCGTGGTTCTTGCTCGGAAAGCAACTCGCTGTTTTCGATGCAGCAGTGCTGGAGTCGGAGGAGTTATAGCTAGTTTTCCTTTCTTTCCTTTTTTTTTCCCCTCGCTTTCGTTTCTTTTCTTTTCTGTTTTACCAATTGTTGCAAGTTATACATTAAAAGAAGTTGACATGTTCTTTACTTTTATAGCGGTTCTATATTAAAGAAAAATAAAATTGACATGCTCTTTGACTTTAATGATAAATTATCCTGTGCCATATATGCACTCCAAAATGTCTCAAGTTAGCAGCGGAGCTACGCTGCGGCTCCAACAAAAGTTTGTAGATGTTCAGACAAAAGACACTTTTTTCGGCAGAAGAGAAATTTGACAAGAGACACTTTAATGTAACCATGTTTTACAGGAATTAGCAGCTCATTGAATTGAGATGTGATGCTTTTCCTAGCAAACTGCTTCCCATCATTGGCATACACATTATTCGCAAATTTTCTGGCAACCCATCAACTGAATGATGACATTTAATGGACTAATGCTGTCATTTTAAATGCTCAAAGAGAAAGGCAAAAAGCAAAAGTCGGCTTCCCTCCTGCCATTCGCTGGTAATACACAAAGACTACGATTGGTAATGTACAGAGACTCTTGCTTCTTGGTAAAAATTTGATCACACAGGCAATTTCACACCATAGAGCCTCTCGTTTATTGACAAGCTTACAGTGACTGAAATCCTTCCCAAGTACAGAGGCGACCTCTCCGCCCCAACATCTGGTTAACTTTTAGATAACTGGCCAACAAAAACTTTAGGTATGACTGGCCGATAAAAATATTGCAACACCCATTTTTACAGCTGCCAATATTCACAAAAAGCCGCGGGGAAAATTGGGATTAAGGATCTTCTGGGAAACAGATTTGGGAAAAAGGACACATTCTGCATCTTTTCTTTTGTGATTTGTAATTCAGGGTTCTTTTCCCCAAATATGTTTACCAATAGGTCCTTAATCCCAATTTCCCAGAGCTGTGATGTCAAATTGCCCCGTCGAATGACAGCAAATACGAGAAGAGAATCTCGTTCCACATGTCAGGTACTCCTGGCAGACACCAATGGCTACAATCAGGCACAGATGGGTTGACACTCCAACGCCCCACATGCCCATCGTTTCTATATGCACCCATTGGGGTTACGTGCAAAACTCTCACCGACACATTCATTTCCTTCACAGTCCTCATTATCATGTCTGATATTGGGCTTCGATCTCTCCCATTTGTCCTCTTCCACGGTCTACTTGTCACTTTGCAAGTTTTACTGTCACAGAGACCACCAACTTCACCGTTACAAACTAAAGACACATTCTATTTGCCTCACAAAAGTGTTGGACAACTTACCCCCAATGAGATGACTCAAAAGTACGGAAGAATATTTTGGTTATACTTGTGTTCACCGTGTTTTCAACCCAAGATGCCCAGGTGTGCAAAGCTGCGCGGAAAGCAGAATTGATTGGCATTCCAAGCTTTAGCGAGTCACCGACTTGAAAATACCACCCCCTGTCTGAAAATCGCGTTAGCACCTCCAAGAAAACGCTGAATTTGTGTGGCTACAAATTCAGAGAAAGCCGAGGGAACTTTAGATGTTCTCTCATGGAAAATTATTATCAAAAACGCCGAGCAGTTAGCAAATCAGTTCCAAGTGAGAATAAAATGTAAATCATAGATACGCTTGGAAAATGAAGTTACTCACGCGTCAAAAAGCTTGCCCTTTGTCCACCAGTGACCTGAATTAAATATTAGAACATCTGAATTAATCCACTCATGGCTAGTATCATCCATCTTGTCCAATCTCAGTGTTGTCTTCACCCTTTTAGGAGCATTTCTCGGCACCGGACCATTCTTCACCAAGAATACGGATCGATAAAAGTCGATTCTAATATTGTGTGAACTGAATCTCACGCCTAAAAACCTAATCCGTTTAGTGATCTCATTGCCATTGATTTCGTACACGCTTTTTTTATTCTCTACTCCTGTCATAAGCAAGCATATCAAAGACTCCCATTGTGTTCTGCTCAAAGAATCGCCAACGAAGACCACTCTTTTCCCACGAAGTTTCTCCAATAATCTACGGGCATCAAACCTCGGAATCTCACAATTTTTGGGTTTCCACCTCCATTTCGTATAGCCTCTGTCTTTACGCCCATTTGCAACGCAGTTAAAACCACGTTCCAAGAAAGGGCAGTGCGAAGCATCATATAAAGGGTAAATCTCGTCCCGGATCCAGCTTCCTTCAAACACGTTGCAAGCAGAAACTGATATATTGGGTTTCAAGACCTCACTCCGAGCTGCCGAGTCAGAAATGTTCCGAATTTCCACGCCCTGAATGAGGGAGTACGAAGTGGGAAATACATACGAATATGCCCAGTAAAGGACCAAAAGGAAAGACAGGAAGGATCCAGTAGTTACAAGCGCATTGAAAGACGAAAAGACCCCGACATCGGAATCACCCGTAATCATTCTATCCACAAATCGAACAGCTCTGGAGCATAGAGTCCTAAGCTTGGCGAAAGAGATCGAGAAACTAACCAGACCCAGCATCTGCATTATTTGCAGAACGAACCAATTTTCCCAGATGTCCATTGTGAAAGTAGAAACAGAAACAAAATATGCTTACTTGAAGGGTGCAGGAGCAGAAGTTGATTAGAGCGATGAGAACGCCAAAGACGCAAGTTTAAAGAAATAGGCTTGGGTCAGCATCCGGACATAGATTAAGAAGAGGAAACAGAAGACTCGGAGTCCAAATCTGGAGAGCAGCGGTGTCAAGAGTCATGGAATGGAGAGCAAAAGATGGTGGGGAGGGAGGTGGTTGTGGAGTCGGGTAAACGGAAGAGGGTGATTTGGTCAATAGAACAAAGATAGCCGTAACCCGGTTGGTTGAGAACATGATTTGTTAACTGAAATGGGGAAAAGCTACTTATAAATACGAGAGGTGGATGGAAAGAGAAGCGACAAAGAGCCCAAACGCGCAAGCTGTCGACACCATTCCTCTTCCTCCCATGCGGCCAGTGCCTCATAATCGTACTATCATTAGAAGACAACGAACCAAAAGTGACCCGACTTCCAAACGTGGCAGACGTGTGACAGTCTCTGTATTGAGAGGGCTCTCTCAGAAGTCAAAGCTTCACCCATTTCGTTCCTGCCTCATCTCTACTCTAACCATGACTCGTATAAATTACCGTTAATATTATATAATATATTATCTAATGCCATGGTTTAGGAAGCCTGGATCTAAATTTAATGTGATTTTCTAAAAGAAATGCTTCTTGTGCACTTTTTTAAATTTTTTATTAACAATGTCATGCACCTTTTTTATCTTTTAGTCTCCTTTTCTTAATGATAAAAAATGTATTGTTGGGCACTATACCTCTTATCTGGCTCCGGTAGCACCTAAATAAGAGCATGCTAGGGTCAGGGTGCTATTTATTTCTTTGTTTTGCCAAACAGGCCCTATTGATAATGAAATATTATTTTATTAGTTAATTAAACTATTCGTATTTTTAAAAGTTTAATCAATCGACTTTAAAGACACGACCGAATTTGAAAATTTTACATGGCATCTTACAAAAAGCGCGAGGCACCTGAAAACTAAAAGCATGTAATCTATGCTATCATATAAAGAACTAGATGCCATATTATAAAATAAAATATGATAAAACAATACAATTATAAATAAAAATCAATTTTCTTGGCGAACGTCATTTTAAAATTTAGTAAAAGAGTAAATAATAAATTATACTTATTAAATAATAATAAGATCACGACAAATGTTATGTAATCCAATTTTCTTACTGAGAGATTAAAAAAACTCCTTTCCTGCATATATACATATATACACTAAGGGGGGCATTTGTTTATGGGAGAGGAATGTAATAGAATTGATTAAGAAAAATAAAAATAAAGTTAAAACGATAAAGATGTGAAAAAGATATGAGTTAATCATGTTCACAGAGGAAAAAGTAATTTATTTTATTAAATTAAAAATTGTGATTCATAAAATTTGTAAAAGGAATGATGATTTTTATATTTGTCATACATGGTGTTAAATTTCATTATGCTTATCGTGAGTGAAGAGGTAATTTAATTTATTTTTATTTTTAACTCATTTCATTTATATTTTTTCTCTGCTAACCAAACATATCCTAATGAAAGAGAGCTCCAAAATATGATAAATGCAAGCAAAGATTGTCAGATGTAATATAGATTCACATCTCATAACTATATTCATCTATTCTTTCCCTATGCTTATATGAGGATGCATTTCTAGATTTACTTTTTTAATTTACCCAGACATTGATTAATATATATATATATATATATATTTGCACATGTGTGTATTGGCAATTGGCAAAGCGCTAACCAGTATTTAAGGTATATATCATTTTTTTTAATTAACAGGTAAAAAGGCCCGTATCTTTTAATTCTTTTCATCCTTAAATATAAGAGCTAAATAATTAATCCATATAAATTAAAGAAATTGTTGAGTTAATTCTTTGTAAAACTTACGTATTTGTTTCTCTAAAATACTTATTCTTTTAATTATTTATATTATATTGGAACATGCCTTTATTTATTGATTTATTTAACCAATAGAATAATTTGTGAGAAAATGATAAATATAGAAAATAAAAAAGATTGAAGCCTTACTTTTAAACTAGCTCTTATATTTTTTATAAAAAAATCCTGATTTTAACCTGGACATGGCTGTAGCCAAGGTATTAAACTCATAAGTTTAAGTATATTCTTGACAAGAATGTAAACATATAAGAGTTTACATCTATTAATAAATATTTATTAAAATATATTTTTAATTTAATTTAAATATATTAAAAATATAAATTATTGAAATCAAACTCATATATATTAATAAATTATCATATATAAGGTATAAAAAATTTTAAATAGCTATTTTTAGTATTTTTTTCCTTTTTATTAATATTAATTTTTGCATTTTAATTTTTTTTCTTTAAACTAGATCTTATAACTTTTATTAATTAGTTTTTTCATAGTATATACTTAACTAGTCAACTCTTAAAAAATTAATTAGTTTAACTAAGTTTGCATCTAGTCTAAATTTATAAATTAATTGATACGATTTTGTAAGTTAAAAACATAAAAATGATAAATTTGAAGGTAAACTCATTAGTTTAATTAAGTTTATATTTAGTTTGAATTTATAAATAAATTAACACGATTTTTATAAGTTAGAAACATAAAAATGTTAAACTCAAAAAGTCAATTCAAGAATTTAACAATTATGATTGCAACCTCTTTCCTATGAAAATGTAAAGCCAAGTGAAACTCCAAACACATTGTGAAAAGTACGTTGATTGTGAAGGACATGCTCGACACTTGTGTTTGTTTTTGTCTTAAAATTAAAGGATTAAAGGATAAAAATATTCTGGAACTTTTTCTCCAGGAGCGTTAGGTGTTTTAAATTTTTATTTGGTGCAATTTTATCTGAAACTTTCAAAAATGGTTTTTTTGCCCTACTGTTAAATCTAAAGATGTTGATCCTTAAAAATAGGGTTTGACCAGAGGTATTTTTGACTTTTTTTTCTCCCCTTACATTTTCTTCTATCTTCCTTCTTCTCATATTCTTCTTATGCGTTCACACCTGTAAAGAAATTTGCATGCATTTTATTTGGAATCACAATTTGAGTTCATCTTACAGATTTGTGTGGTTTAAAAAAAACACAAAGTAAACAAAAATTAAAAGAATGGCATGGTAGAAATGCACAAATAGGGAGAGAGAGAAGCGAATTCCAATTTCCCTTAATCACTTTCAATGTCTTTCACCTTGTTTCTTTGTCTTTGTTTTCCTCCTCCTTTTTTCTCCTAATCTAGCTATCCTTTCGTCTCTAATGCAGCACTAAAGATTACACCCAAAAGGCGTTTGCCATCCAGCTCTCAACTCAAGAGATGAGCACTGGGTGCTCATACAAAAGCCAAGAACAAATTTAAAATAAAAAAATAAGTTCACAATTCAAGAGAAATAGAGAACAATCAGAATATCCAATCTTTATTGCGCCACCAAATGTATCGTCATCTTTCATTTTATCTTCTTTGCAACATATTCGCAGCTCAATTGGAAATGGGTGTTGCCCACATGTAGTTGGATTTGTTGCGTCTTACGTTCAACCTCTATTTCATATGATCTTCTCTTCACCTTTGTTCTGTCTTATTCTCCGTTGTGCTAGTTTGGCATTGGCAGTTTCAAACCTGAAGCCAAAGCTTCCAAAACTCACGTGAGGGACCCAGAGTATGGATGTGATGAAGCCATCTCTCTCTTTTAGAGATAGGTCCAGAGGCCGTGGAAGGATTGGAGTTCGATGCTGCTAATACTAATCTTCTTCGTTATGCTGCAACAACCATGCCTAAAGCAAACTCAAAGGGGAGAAAGCAAGATTGCAGAGACAAAAAAACGTAGAAGTAGAAGGAGAAGAAAGAGATAAGAATAGGGAGTTGGATCGAAAACCAGAATGAAAAATGATCAAAATAGTGAAATGCCTGTGATCAAATCCTATTTAGTTGTCAACGTTTTCATATTTAATGAGGGGATAAAATTGCTTTAATTAAAAGTTTAGGATGCTCAGTGTTTCTAAAAAAAAATTTAGAACATTTTTTTCCCTTTAATCCAAAATTAAATTGCCAAATTATTTATCGTTGACTATTAAAAATAATTTCATTTTGTCTATTGTCAAGGCAAGAAAAATGCGGGTCCAGACAAGTCCATTTAGCCGTTTACATTGCCTATGGTATGGAAGGTGGCACTCCTAAATCCGATGATGATATGAACGGCCACAATTTGCTTGATCAGGTTCTCATTTTGGCGCGAGAATTCGAATCATTTAAAATTGAAATATGTGAATTTCCATAAAATCTATCCTTTTAAAAAGGAGGAAATAATTTATACTCATCGATCCTGTATATTAATCATTTACTTGATCTATTTTATAAGTCACTACCTAATGTGATTATTTTGTTTTAAATTGAAATTCTCAAATTACTTTTAAAAAGTAAGAGAGAAAAAGATAAAAAAATAATATTATATTTTTTGCTTATTTTTTATTTTTATTTGAGAATTATATTTAAAATTTCACTTACTTTTATTCCTTATAATTTTTTTTATATTGATATTGATGAGATTAGTAGAAATAACTTATAAATAGTACCGGATAAAGTATTTCATAAAAATTAATAAAATATTAAAATAAGAAAACTTTACAAAAATTCAAAGATTTTAACTTCAAAGGATTTAAATCTGTATTGGCAAAGTTATGCTCCTAATTTCATTAATTTTCAATAAATATATAAATTCTCCCATTTGATTTTTTTTTTTAATGATGAGTTGGGGTTAGAGAGGGGGATTTCATTAATTATAAGCTCACGAACCCTTTTTCCCAAATAAAAGAATCATTGAAAGGAAATTATCCCATGAAAATGCATGACACATACTCCCACGTTTAAAAATGTAAAGCATTTTTTGAGAAGTTGAATATTCAAAAATGTAAGATATTTTTAGTCTTTATAATTATTGTATTTTTTTCCTCTAAAAGTGTCTCTATTGATAATAACTTTTAATAGAAATAAATATGAAAAGATAGGATTAGTTTGAAAATAGGTAACTATTTTATTGAGAGGTGAGATTTGATTAAAAATACTTTATATTTTTAAGTAAAGGGAGTAGGTATATCGCATGAATTTCCTTACAGAAGCGGAACACATATATTGCTGTTTCCATTCCATGGCACTCAGTCAAGACTCAAACAAGAGGGGGTAGAGAATCCAGATATATGTGCTATAGTATATATAGCAACTGGTAAGACATTAAAAATCAGCCATTGATGAGTGGATGAGTTGTATTAGGCAACCTTCGTCCACTCACAAACGAAGTAAATAATTGCAGTGCTCTCGATGGCTGTGCATAAGGCACCATGTGAGCCGCCCCTCTCACCGTCGCAAATGTCAGCAAATTCCCATACTCCGTTACCCATCCTCCTACCTAATAACAATTAATCACCATCACCGTTAGTCTTCAATTGAGTTTCACGTTTAAACTAACTTGAGCTTAATTATAATCATGCATGACGTACCTGGCCTTTGTGGAACCAAGCTCTATATGGTACTGTAATCTTCATCTTCATGTCACGAGCTAGTTCTCGCATTAGCGTTCTCGAACCCAGCAATGGCACAACAGAATCTTGGTCTCCACTGTGATCAATATCATCTGTTCGCGTCAAACAATTTGCATACATACATGTAAATAATACATGAGAAAGAAGGGTGCCCTTCATGCCTGCCTTCAAGTTTATTAATATCAATTAATTACCTGTAAACCCAAACTGGGATGCCATTCTGAAGTATCTTCCGGAGAATTGGAAGGATGTTGATTTTACCGTCAGAATCGCTATAATTCAAAAAGCTGGGCAATCAAGAGAATGGGAAGATCAGTATGAAAAAAATTTAAATTTCGATCGGATAGAAATTATATAATAATGTTATGTTAGATATGTATTGCTCACTCGCTGCACATGGACCAGCTATAGGGCAGACTGGTACTGTTTGCATGGAGAGCCTTCTGAACCTCGGGGAGGTTGAAATAAAAGTCTCCTTCATAATCCATACAAACATCAACGCCTAAACTTATTTTGGAAGCCTGCGTTGACACACACACGTGTATAAGGGGCCCAAATTAGCTAGTACAGTGAATTCATTTAAAAGCGTTGAACAGAGAGTGAAAAGAGAAAAGGAAGAGACGAGTGATACCATCTTTTTGAGTCTGAGTTCTTGCTCAGCAATGGAAGGATAACAAACATCGAGGATCACGTCATAATCGTTAATGTAATTGCCCACGACACGATCAGCCTCGGCTATGGCGAGGTTGCAGGAATGAGATTCGTTGTGAGGACTGGGAAGCACATAATCCTGGAAATCGCAATCATTCATAACGGCGAGGCCAGTTTCATCGGAAATCATGCCATGGGACCAGAAGAACTCGTATGTCGCAGGAATATCCCGGTCAAGTTTCAGGAGAGGGTTTCCAATCTAACCAACCAAATTAAGCCAAGTGAGATGAGAAGAGAGAGAGAATGTGTGTGAGAGGAAAGTTTGAGCAAGTTATGCAGATTTGTGGGATCTTACTGCAACTCCCTTGATGTTGAATTTGAAACCAGTTGAACGAGTGTTGTGGTCCAATAGCAAATCGGCCAACTGGGGTATGTAATGTCCTGCATAGGAGATAGCATTGTAAATACATTTTATATGCACGTCACGACGGCGTGGACAAAAGATTTGGGCGTAATGATGATTTTTTTTTTCCACGCTAATCTACCTGAAACGTCGATTGTGATGAAGCAAACACAATTTTCATTTAAAAAAAGAATTATATCATGCCATGGATTATTGAGACGGTTTCATGTGGCGCAGGCCAATTAAATTGAACCTAAGATTTTCAGGAAAAATGAAATAAAATAAAATAAACCGCTAATTTATGCCTCCTTCCTGTAGCCAGCTTAAAAGAGATGGATAAAACGGCGGATTAGATGTGGCCCCACCACTTTTCATCTCTCTGGCAGGATTGCTGGCACGACAAGGAAGAGTCCACATCAGACGAGATATTCTTTCATTTTTATTATTAAAGAAAAGATCCCTTCTTTCATTTAAAAATATAAAATATTTGTAATTAAATCTTAATTTAATAAAATAATTATTTTATTTTAAACTATCTATCTTTTTATTATTGTTATTAAATAGTCTTACAATAAATATAAAGTCATTCATGAATACGGGCACTTTTAAAAGAAAGATAATAATTACACCTCAAAAAAAAAAAATGTCTTAATTTTTTAAAATCTAAATCTCAAAAAATACCTTACATTTTTTAAGAGAGAGAGTATCATTTTTCACTTAATTTTTTATAAAATAACATCACCCATTTAATAAATATTTATTACATATTTTTAAATCATATTATAATTTATATTATAAGAAACTAATTAATACATGCTAATGTTGATTAATACAAGACATTTTAGTTCATTTTTTTACTTTCAAAACATAATTATTATAATTAATAATTTTTTTAAATTATATGATATATTTTTTTCTCGTTTATATAGAAATGAAGAGAGCATACTCCTTCATGGTTCTAATCCGATTCATTCCCCATCTTTTATGTAACGTAACGCCCGTATCCCAGGAGTCATAAATAATGATTTAATGATTAAGAGATCATGTGATCCGGCTAGATGTTGTTAGAATTTACGCCAAACAACACGTAAGATGTTATCGGTTGCATTGTCCCATACTCTCTAGTGACTAAGGAGGCGCTTTATCATGTGGTTTCAAATTATATCACTAAAAAAATGGGGGCGCAATTCAGTTATCGTTATTTAAAATTACTAATTAGTGGACATGCGCACTCAATACACACCCCCCCGGGGGGTAAAAAGGTAACATCCTGTAGGAGATGAGGAAAAGAGAGGATATGAACAGAAGAAGATGCGACAAAGAATGAAAACAGAACGGAGGCAATGGGGTAAAATATAGGATTGAATG